GAAGAAGGGTCTAGGCCCGAAACGTCAGCTTTCCTGCTCCTCTGGTGCTGCTTGACCTGCTGTGTTCATCCAACTCTACACCTTGTTATCTCAGATTCTCCAGCATCTGCAGTTCCTACTATCTCTGAAACAGCCTAGTATTGTGTGTGATTTCAATGGAGAAATATAGTAGACTGGCCAACACCAGTTCTCTTAATGATCTACTGTGGGTGGGAATACATGCATGTGGGTCAGTGGGGAATCACTCAGAATGTATGGATCTAGTTAATGGCTCTAATGTGATAGATGGAATGCACAGGAAAGAAGTCGGGAATCTGTTTTAATGTGGGACGAGAAAACACCAATAATACACACCACGAAAGAGCAAAATCAGAAATGGAAAATCAATACATTTGTACAAAACGGTGGAGAAAATTGTTAATGAGGCAATTGATTCATTGAGACTTTTCGAAATGGAGCTTTGTGGAGAAGTAGTAATTAAGGATAATAAAATTATATTGTTTTATTTAAGATCGTATCACTGAAAAAAATCCAGAAGCTAACATTCAATGAGCTACTTGTGGATGTGCCACAACCAACCGCTTCCATGAACGGCCCACAAACTGTAGCTGAAAGGAATGGCCAATCAAATGTCACATTTTGGCTGGAGTTGGCTTGATGATGCTTATTTTCTTATCCGCCATCAAGCCAAAAGGCACCAATTTGATTGAATCTCAGAAATAACATTTAATAGCGCCGAAGGAGACCATTCGATTCTTAAACGCCGTGTCATTGGGGGCGCTTTTATTTTACTGCAGTCATCAGGGCCTCAGACCATTTCCTAAATAATGGGTTTTCCATAACTTCGAATGTTGAGCATATGAAACATGGACCTACATGGCAAAGATGAGAGGGCGGTCAAGAGCACAGAGCTAAAAAGACGCAGTTGACACCAGAAGATGGACGGGTTTAGGCCCTATCCCTGCCACAGTTAATCTAAAAGAGCAAGTGGGTGTAGTATGTTACTGACAGTAGGTTGACTCAGGCCCTAATAAAACATGAGGTGATTTCTCTCGATGATAAGGGACTACATCCATGTACAAAATTCCTTTGTTCATGCTAAGAATGTATTGTGGTTGTACATTATTATATTCTACAAAAGATATGGCTTCAAATTTTGGCTGTTTCTTCCCCTGTTATCTCTATGTGTATGACGTGTAACCAACAACATAGCAATAACCGAGATCATGTAAATACGCTTCAAGTGTTGGCGAAAACAAAAGCGTGTACAGCTTGGCCTAGCTTCCTAATCTTTCAGAATCGATTGCATTTTTCATTCCTACAAATGGTGGTGGTGCCACGATGAAATCGAGATATATTTGTCAAGAAATTTGTTTCCAACTTGTTTGGTGTGCCATTAACGACCATGGGTACCAAGAGAACCGAGGCTAATGGTGGGATTGCAGATCTTCCTGCTTTAACCGGAATACACTTATAATAATTCAGTTTGAAGTGAGTTGCAGTCAATGACTATCAATATTTTGCTAATCCTTCATTGCATATTTATGATGGATGTCGGACTCCTTAAAGTAAGTTCGCCAGGAGGGAGCCTCAACATCCTTAACAAGAGATTTTGCTTCTGTGTAAGCGTCTATTTAAGAAATAATGTGCAACCTTTGATTTCCCGTTCCGTTAGCAAAGACTATGTTTGAAAACTAGACTGAGTTAATGTACAGGAGCCTAACTTCTGAAACTGATAACATCATAAATATGAAGACGTATTAAGTGAAGTCATCTTCAGATAAAATGGGTTTTTCTTATTAATACTTATTAGTAATTGAATATTATTTCACATTCGTCTCCCTTCTTATTTAGCAACTGTGTGAGAACGCTCTCACAGTCGCCCCGTGAGAATGAAGTAATACAGAGAAAAGTGTAGGAAGGGATATAATTAGCAGAATGTAAATCAGACTCTTCTCTATGATATTAATACATTCATGTGAGGTATGCCTTTCATTGGCTTGCAGTGTTAAAACATGCACATAATCCAGCCAATTTGATGTTACCTGGGAACGGCTGCTACCCCGAAGATCCTCCCCATCATCCTGGACCCTATTACTCATGTGACACGGCGTCTGTTTGGACAAAGCGGGCGTGGTGGAAGCGGTTTCGCACTACTCAGGCTATCAGAAGAGAAGCAAGACACACGCTGGAGCATCACACTGTCATCCCCCACCCCACCCTCCTCCTCTCCCCCCACCCAACCCTTGTCAGCTCGTTGGCTCAACCGGCATCACCAGAAGAAGCTCGAGTATGCCGCTGGCTTAACTTGTGATCAACTTTTTGGCTTTAGCGGGGAAATTGGACTGAAGAAGCAATGATCACTTCAGCTTGGCCAAAGTGTGCAAGTCAACACAAGTGCTCGGGTGCCTGGGGCTGACTCATTGAGATCTATGTCCATGTACTTACACTCATATACTCCCCTATTGTTTAATCCTTTTTAATGGCTACGGCTGTTGTTGTCAGCACACGAAAAGATGCCTGTCATGAAAGGGTTGCTTGCGCCTCAGAACACCTTTTTGGATACAATAGCAACACGATTCGACGGAACTCGTAAGTGAACTACATCGATGTATGTCTTTGCGCAGAAACCGGGTGAGTTTAGGTGTGGGAGGAAGGAAGGGATGTTTCCTGTATCAGTTCGGGAAGATTATTATTTAATCAGAGGAAATTTTATGTCTTTATTGTAAAAGCGAAAACTTTGCCAGTGCCGCGGCTTCGGTAAAGACAGATGGAGCACACTCGAACGCATAGACAGTATTGTAGTTGTAAGAACACACTTTCACTCCAACTTAGTGAAATCGTAAGCTGAATATATACCTTCTCTGCAGCCGAGGACATAAGGGGTGTCTGCTATCTAAATTACAATGTTCAGTCCGATCTACCGCCTGCTACTGAAAAGGAAAATGTATTGTAACGGCTTCTTGTTACGTGATTATTGACCAGCTGTGATATGACATGTACAGTGCTGTAAAACGACCCGTTACATTAAGGCAGCATTTGTACATTGGAGTCCTCAGTGCTCCAGGATCTCCCAGAGCGACCTAGCACGATTCACTCCGACAGCTCAAAATAAATTGCTTGGCTGAACACTGAGACACTTTAGAAATCACCCAGCCCATTCCTCTCTTTTCGAATTGTTTAATAATATAACAGCTACAGTTCCCAATGTTACATTTCCCTATGGGAGCGCTGCAGCTGGTTTTCTTGTTTCAGCACCATGGTCAGAGACAATGGGGCTGCCGAAACAAGCAGCAAGGAAGCTGACCAGAAATGACAGATTGGCAGAGTTCCCGGTGAACGATAGTCCTTTCGCCCGCCTCCGCTCAATAAAGGAACTAGATAAGTTCAAATAGTGTTTTTTTTTAATTCAGTTTGCGGATAATGCATTCCCTGTGAAAAATATCAAACACCAAACAATTGTCCGATTATTTAAATTCACTTTTGAGGAAGAGTTTATGGTCTCCCTTTCAGATTACTCAATTTAAATGTTGTAAGAACCGTGAATGCTCTGAGATTACAACCACCAGAGTGCAGAATATGGGCTTCAGATAGTTGTGAATAGCTGTGAGTGTTAAATGATCCCGACTCAAAAGATTCATAGTTTGATAAAAGGCTTGGAAATCTTTCGGTCTTTGGCATAGTTCTTTACACTTTCCGGTGTTTAATTCATTCAGAGCCAGAGTACTTGTGACGATGAAATACCATGCTTTTGTTTTAAACGTGCAGACAGTCTTTAGATCCACTCTGTTAGGGAGACAACTGAGACCTGGCAAAATAATTCAAAAAACTGCACATGGGTGCTTTAAGAAACATAATGACCAGTTATTTTTCCATTGTCTATTAAATGATAAATGCCTAATGTAGGGAAAGCTGGATATTACTGACATATTGAAAGTTAATAAATGCAAAATAACACCATTTGAACAGCAGTAGATGGATGGAGTGAGGGGGAGAGACACTCTGTGCATATTAGCATCCATTTTTTGGATGGGACAATTGCCCTTGTACCATCAAATTGGCATCCACACTGGTTGTGCATACACTTGTGGTTGAATTGCACCTTATTAGTGAGAGAGCATATTGCAATGAACACCTCATCTGAAGCATACAGTCTAGATAGGTCATGGCACTGTCTATCGTGCAATGCTGAGTTAATACTAGCAGTGCAATTTTGGAGCTGAGCACTCCAACTGACAACCTCTTGTCAACTCATACTGTTGAATATGCATTCAGCAATTGGAAGAACTCCCGCACACCTCCCCCCCATCACACACACCCACACCCCATTAAATGTTACACAATGGGATCACCATTGCAGATTAGTTGTTGATTGATTTCTTCTGCTGCTACAATTCTACAAGTGTTTAGTGCTTTCTACCATTGTTTAAATTGCAAAAATCTACATGGATTGGTTTAGTAACTGCTAAAAGAATCTTAGGTGACCTCAAGGCTTACACACAAACCAAAACCAATTACCTTTCAACACTAGTAAGAATCCTCCTCGGAATACAGCACACTGTGGGGGTATAAACAGAGGCTGTGAAGTGCAAGACATATTGTTAGAAGAGGGAGGAAAGCTTTAGCTGGAGGCCAAAAGCACGCAAGATGTTCAGGCAGCAATTCTCCACCTGAGTCCCAGTGTGGAACAATGTGTGAGACATTCGTATGTCAACAGGAATGTCCTCTCGGAAATCTGCCGCTTGCTACAGCCACAGCTGCATCTTCAGAGCAAGGCAAGGACTGCATTGCCAGTGTCTGTGAAGGTGACCATAATCAATGATTTTGTTTTGTTGCTTTTTTGTAAAAATAATTTGGAGGTATTGTAACATTTCAGAGTTTGCTGTTGATTGCTGTATAAGGCAGGTCACTATAATTCTCTTTTTTTAAAGATAACTCCCTAACTACATTAGATTTCTTTTGATAGAGGAAAGCAGGTGGAGCATGTACAAGACTTCAGTTGGCATAGAGGCTTTCCTATGATGCTGACTATTTATCATTTCATGAGTGCTTTATGTTAACTCTACTCTTTACCAGAGACAAAAGGGATTTTCTCAATGTACAGTTGGTGTGTGGCAAATCACAAGGTCAGTTATTAGTATCCAGCAATATGTCACACAGTGGCAGTAGGTGGTATCAGTTATATTCCAGCTACCAAGGCAAAATAAAGTTAGTTGCTGGGCAGCAAAGCCTGATGACATGACTGTGAGAAGCTGAAAGAAGACAATGGATTCATACTCTATGGAGCCACTGCCAGCCCTCAGTAATCTTAGTTATCTGGGAGAGAACAGATTGCTAGCTTGCTGCAACACCATGTGAGCTATTTTGCAGATGATCCTCAACCATTATGGCAACAATCTGAGGCTGGAGTCTAAGCTTATATATGACTGTAATCCCAGTTTCCACTGTAACACCCCCATATTGTATGCCTGTTGCTTGTGCTTCAAGGGAAACTGTGACACTGGCTATTGGAGGTTTCATCAATGTACTATTGGAATTGGAAACTACTTGCACAGTGAAATGGTTGAAGTACTGGTTCTGAACAAAGCTCTGTACCAAGCAGGTCCTGGATGCAATGATTTTTTGAGATTGATCACAAGCTTTCCAGAATGCTTTCCAATGTATTGAACATCTCAGTGTGCATTCCCATTAGCATTCTTCTGTTGGCTTATGCATCAATATCCTCAACTGAGTTCTCTGTAGCAGAACCTTTGCATTCTTGGTGATCTGGCATCTGTACTTTCCTTAGTCCCTGCTCTGACTGCATATACTTGTAGATATTTTTCTTATCAACCTGTTCAGAAATGTTGATGCAAACCTCTGGAGCAGGTAGGACTTCAACATGGGCTCCCTGGCCCAGAGGTAGGGACAGTACCACTGAACCACAAGCACATTTATGCATATTACTTGTGCCATGTATCTCACCACATGCAGATCACCCTTCAGTTTTGTACTCGAAGATACACAAAATGTCAATATCTGAGCTGATAGGTGCCAGTGTGCAATCATTTGACAGGGCAGTGTCATTATCACTACTTCTCCTGTCTTACCTAATCAGGTTATAGCACTTGAGTATATGACACTGAAAAAGCCCAGGTTAAGAGTCAGTTGCAAGAAGTAAGGAAAGTAACAGATGCTTACTTACATTACCAATGACTTGTAAATTAGAAGCGTGTGTAATAAAGAGAGAAAGTTGGATATGAGAAGAAGGATTAGATATCAAGATATAATGTTTAACCTTACCACTGGCTACGGTCTCAGCTTTCCACTAATGGTCAGCATTATTTCCTGTATGGGAGTTAGGAACTATGAATGTCCTCCTCTGGTTTGTTGATGTTGTCTCCGTTCATATATCACCTTGGTCTGCAAGTGAGGTAGACATGTGTCATCATGTGTTGTATGATCTGTTTGGTGACATGACTGTCATGGTAGAATAACTGTCGGGGTGTGTAATCTGTGAAATGTGTAATGTGAGTATTGCCATAGTCTTAGGTGTAAGAATTCTGTGTAAGATTAAAGGCATATGAAAGTCAGGTATGAGATTTAATTGGTATATTTGTTGATAGGTCAGTGATGGGGATATGGCAATGTGAGCAGTGCCTAATGCTCCAGATGCAGTTAGTAGAGAGAACGTGGTGTGTGAGGATGCATTTATTGACTACTTATGTGAACATGTGAGGTTACTGAACTTCTTGTTTTACTGCATCTAGGTCCTCAGGGCTTGACTTGCTTGGCAATTTGCCCCCACTGCTTTGGCCATTTTTCAAGAGAACCATTTCAATTCTTAAATTTTTCAGGATTTTTCTTTTTTTCATATTTCTCTCTCTTTCACAGTCCAATCTTTTTGCCCTCACTTTGGCATAGAATTTACTTACCTGACCCACCAGTCAGAGTGGGTCAGAAAATCCCAAAGAATTTGGAACTCACACGGGTTGTGGATGAGTTTGTTGACTTGCTCACTGAGCTGGCTCATTATTGCTCAGACATTTCGGCACCATGCTAGGTGGCATCATCAGTGGAGCCTCCAATGAAGTGATGTTATTCTACTCCACTTGGAATTTATACTGTCTGGTCTGTTATGGTGAGTACTGTCATTTCCAGTTTTGATCTGTATGGGTTTGTACATGGGGTCCAATTCTATATGTTTGTTGATTGAAAATGGGTGGAGAACCATGCCTCTAGGAATTCTGTGCATGTCTATGTTTGGCTTGGGCTACTATGGTTACCTTGTCCCAGTTAAATTGATGGTCTGAATGTACCAATACTAAGGAGAGTTCGTTGTGCCGTTTTGCTGCAAGCTGATGTTTATGTATTCTGATGGCTGGTTTCCTTCCTGTCTGTCCGATGTAATGTTTGTGACAGTCATTGCATGGTATTTTGTAAACCACGTTCATTCTGCATGTTGTGGGAATGGGGTCTTTAATCCTTGTAAGTGTAACCATAAAAGTAACCATAGTAGCCCAAGCCAAACATAGACACGCACGGGAATTTCGTGAGGCTTGGTTCTCCACCCATACTTCAATCAACAAGCATATAGAATTGAACCCCATATA